GGACAACTGCTCGTAGAAGCGAGTCCGCAGAAGTGGACTTCGTGTCCGCATAAGCGATGAAGCCGCAGAAGCGAAGGAATTCTCGCATCTGCGAGACTGCAAATGCGGCTAAAAATCTCGCAGAAGCGGAAACCCCTAGACAGTACAAAAACAGAGGGGTTCCGAGTTTTTGCCATTTTTGGGCATTTCAAGCTCGGGCTGGCGATTTTGAGCAAGGTTTTCACGGGAAAACTTGAGGTAAGTCACTTGTGATCATTTTTACTCCATAATATTGAATTATCATTGAATAATCCGACTAGATTACGTGTTTTTGAGGTGTAAATCGGGGATTTGGACCTAGGAATTTGGAAATAAGATTTGATGATTTGGAGGTCGAGTTGATATCGGATTTAGATAATTTTGGTATGGTTTGACTCGTAGTTGAATGAACGTTCATATTTTGTAACTTTTTTCGGGTTTTGAAACGTGTACCCCACAAACAATTTTTGAGTTAAATTTTGGATTTTTGTTGAAAAATTTGTATTTTCATATGGAATTTATTCCTATAATTTGTATTGACTGAATCAAATTAATTATGACTAGATTTGAGCCGATCAAAGTCGAAAAATCGAGGGAAAGTCATTCTACTTGACTGATTGAGCGTGATTCGAGGTAAGTGGCTTGTCTAACCCTGTGTGGGGAGAATCCCCTAGGATTTGATACTGTTGTAATATTTTGTGATATGTGAGCGCCGTGTACGCAAGGTGACGAACGCGTATACGGGCTAAATTTGGAAATATCGGTTCTGGATGAGTAATCTTTTTTTAAATTCTTTAACTGAGTTGCCTTAGTATATGTAGTGATCATGGTTAGCCTAGTATCACATGTCTACGTGTCTTAACTCTTACTTGCAATATGTGCAACATGCTTAGCTGAATTACCTGTTTTTCCTCGATTTGATTTAAATCTTTAATTGTAAGATTCCTGGCTGAAAATTTGTTGTTCCTCCGATTACCTGTTGCATATTTATTTTGGGACTACGAGGCGTTTCCTCGGGAGATCCCCCTGCACTGCATATTACTTTGGGACTACGAGGCGGTTTCTCGGGAGATCTCCCTGTACTGCATATTTACTTTGGGACTACGAGGCAGTACCTCGGGAGATCCCCTTGCATATTTTCTTTTGGGACTATGAGACGGTATCTCGGAAGATCCCCTGTTGAGCATTTACTTTTGGGACTACGAGACGGTATCTAGGGAGCGCCCCTGTTGTTTACCTCTATTTGCTGTGTTGTTCACTCCTCAGTTATTTCATTATATTATTATATCCTCTGTCTTAATTTTTCTATTATTTCCAGTAGGGCATGACCTGACCTCGTCACTACTCTACCGAGGTTAGGCTTGGCACTTATTGGGTACCGTTGTGGTGTACTCATACTATGCTTCTGCACATCCTTTTGTGCAAATCCAGGTACTTCTTACCAGCCCAGATATCAGTGAACTACCTGTGTGCGGAGACTTCAAGGTACATCTGCCAGCGTCCGCAGACCTCGGAGTCCCCCTCTATCCTTATCATGTTGTTTTCCTTATTTTAGTAGACTCTAATGTATAGAGACCTTAGTATTTCTCTTAAAAGCTTATGACTTGTTTCTACCGGGTTTTGGGAGATTTTAGTTCTTTGACTTGCAGTTTCCATTTATTACAACTTTTGAGGTTTGAGTTCTAGACTCTTATTATATTATTCCATAATTTGTTAGGCTTACCTAGTCTTAGAGACTAGGTGCCATCACGACATCCTACGGAGGGTGAATTGGGGTCGTGACATATCCAAAATTGCAACAACTATCGTGGTATTAAGCTAGTGAACCATACTATGAAAGTATGGGAGAGGGTGGTGGAGCTGAGGGTGAGGAGGATTGTGTTTATTTCAGAGAACCAATTAGGATTTATGCTGGGGCGTTCTATTACAGATGCTATTCATCTTGTTAGGAGGTTGATGAAGAAGTATAAAGAAAGGAAGAGGGATTTACAGATAGTGTTCATCGACTTAGAGAAGGCTTACGATAAAGTGCCGAGGGAAGTGTTGTGGAGATGTTTGGAGGCTAGAGGCGTTCCTGTTGCATACATTAGAGCTATTCAGGATATGTACGAGGGTGCTAAGACTCAGGTGAGGACAGTGGGAGGGGACTCAGAACACTTCCCGGTTCTGATTAGGCTGCACCAGGGATCAACCCTCAACCCATTTCTGTTTGCCGTGGCGATCGATGCGCTGACGTGTCACATTCAAGGGGAGGTGTCGTGGTGCATGTTATTTGAAAATGACATTGTACTGATTGACGAGATGCGTTGTGGTGTTAACGAGAGGTTAGAGGTTTGGAGACAAACTTTGGAGTCTAAAGGTTTCAAGTTGAGTAGGACCAAAACAGAATACGTGGAGTGCAAGTTCAGTGGCGTGACTCAGGAAGAGGACGAAGACGTGAGGCTTGAGTCACAAGTCGTTCCTAAGAGAAAAAGTTTCAATTACCTTGGGTCTATTATACAAGGGAATACGGAGATTGATGAGGATGTCACACGCCGTATTGGAGCGAAGTGGATGAAATGGAGGCTCGCTTCCGGTGTTTTGTGTGATAAAAATGTGCCACCAAAACTTAAAGGTAAGTTCTATAGAGCTGTGGTCAGACCGACTACGTTGTATGGGGCCGAGTATTGGCCGGTCAAGACATGCCATGTACAGAAGATGAAGGTGGCAGAGATGAGGATGTTGAGGTGGATGTGCGGGCATACCAAGTTATATAAAATTAGAAATGAAGTTATTAGGGACAAGGTGGGTGTGGCCCTGTGGAGGACAAGATGCGGGAGGCGAGACTTAGATGGTTCAGGTATGTGAAGAGGACGAACACTGATGCTACGGTGAGGAGGTATGAGAGGCTAGTATGGAAGGGTAGACGGAGAGGTAGAGGCAAACCGAAAAAGTATTGGGGAGAGGTGATTAGACAAGATATGGCGTTGCTCCAGCTCACTGAGGACATGACCATGGATAAGAAGGTGTGGAGGTTGAGAAGTAAGGTAAAGGGTTAGGTGGTCGAGTGTTGTCCTTGTTTGTAGCAGTAGCTTTGATACACCACTTGGTGCCTTCCGTGTTTTTTTTTGTTTTTGTATTTGTACCCCTAATTTTGTATTTTTTTTACTACTGACTGTTGTCTTGTGTTTTGATTTTGTGATTGCATTACCTTTTGCTCGGTTTGTATTTTTTGCTTTGGTTGTCAGATCGGTTTGCTTGTTATTGCCCATCCCCTCTCCCCTTCCCGAGCCGAGGGTCTTCCGGAAACAATCTCTCTGTCTTTTAAAGGCAGGGGTAAGGTCTGCGTACGCTCTACCCTCCCCAAAAGGGTATGTTATTGTTGTTGTTGTTATCGTAAAAAATTTCATTATATAAAAGATTTATTTTGAAATACACTTGAAACATATACTCAATTAATTGAATCACAATTTTAGTTTTCTTTGTTCTTATAATAATTCTGAAGCCCGGGCCCACAAAAACAAGAGGGTTTGGTTCGAGTTCTCGGATCCGGGTCCAACAAAGACGGCGTTCCTCCTCTTTCTCGCCAAAGCATATCCTTATAAGTAAACCGTTGGACAGTCTACCGCCGGTTAACAAATTTTTCTCCCCAAAGACGTATCCCCAATCAATTTCACGAACTAATTTCCTTTAAACGCCCTGTGTTCTACTTGTTGATTTCGTTAATCGATCTGCTTCTAGATCTACGTCAAGATGGTGTTAGCACAATTAGGGGGGAGCATCTCGCGTGCTCTCCAGCAGATGAGCAATGCCACAATCATTGACGAGAAGGTCCTTAACGAATGCCTCAATGAGATCACACGTGCTCTTCTCCAGTCCGATGTTCAATTTAAACTTGTCCGCGATATGTCCACAAATATAAAAAAAATTGTCAATCTTGATGATCTTGCTGCTGGACACAACAAGCGTAGGATCATCCAAAAGGTTCAATATTCTTTTTCTTTACTTTTTTTTATATCAATTGTTGAGACATATTCATTACAGGCTGGAAATTGACTGCATTCTTTCAATTGTATAGGCTGTGTTCGATGAGCTGTGCAAGATATTGGACCCTGGGAAGCCTTCATTTACACCAAAAAAAGGGAAACCTAGTGTTGTAATGTTTGTTGGTTTGCAAGGTGTGTTCATTTGATTTTCTACTTTGGTTTTATGTTCGATGATATTGTAGCAAAGCTAATACCTGAGCTAGCATTAATTTTATTATAATGAAGAATTACAAGCTCGTTTATTTTTCAATTACAAGATGGTATTCTTATTTATTTGTAATTTCGGGCAGGGTCTGGAAAAACTACAACATGTACAAAATATGCTTTTTACCACCAGAAAAAAGGTTGGAAGCCAGCTCTAGTGTGTGCAGATACATTCAGAGCTGGTGCATTCGATCAATTGAAGCAGAATGCAACAAAAGCTAAAATTCCCTTTTATGGAAGGTATATCCTCTTCTGAATCTATTAGTTTTATTCTTATCTCCCCAGTACACACGTTTAGAAGCATGATGCTCATTCTCCTATCTAACGAGTAATGATGACCAATGTTACTTTGTTCTTCTTCCTGACAGAATAAGCCGAAACTCATCAATTTTTGCTTGGTTAATCAAATCAATAAACCACGTCATAGGTCCATAGGAGTTGCTAATTTCAAAGTGCATTTTGATTAGGTAAGTGGAGGATGAAATCTGAGAAGCATTGCCTGGTGCATTGTCACGACCCAAAATCCCACCACAGGAGTCGTGATGGCACCTAGTCTTAGAGACTAGGTAAGCCGATTTCCATTGCATTTTTGAAGCAATTTTTTTAATTAAATAAGTAACCAAAACTAACATCGGAAATAATTACAATATACAACCTCCCAAGACTGGTAGTACTAAGCCGATTTCCATTGCATTTTTGAAGCCTTTTTAAAAAAAAATTAAATAAGTAACCAAAACTAACATCGGAAATAATTACAATATATAACCTCCCAAGACTGGTAGTACTGAGTCACGAACTCTAACTGAATACATAGAATGATCACGAGGACCGAATATACAATACTGTTTGATTAAAAATTAACAGTACAATGAAATGGAAAAACTCCAAGGGACTGCGACGACCAAGTAGCTCTACCTTGAATCCTTACGATCCCACTTTAATTCTTCTCAAGTCCAATAACTCCAATACCTGGCTCTGCACAAAAATGTGCAGAAGTGTAGAGTGAGCACACCACAACGGTGCCCAGTAAGTATCAAGACTAACCTCAATGGAGTAGAGACGAGGTACAGTCAAGACACTCACTAGTCTAATAACCTGTGCAATATAATATACAAAATAATAGGAAACAAATAATAATAAAGGCAGGATAAAACAACCAGTGATATGCATAACAGACAACAAGAATACCATTGATATCACTCAACAATTAATAAACACAATTACACCCAATTAAATCAAGCCCTTCAAATAAATGTCTTTCACATAGTTCTTCCAGATACCTCTCTTTCAAATATAATTTTCTCAAATAATTATTTTTCAAATATAATTCTTTCAATAAATCTTTTCAAATACAATTTCCTCAAATAAATATCTTTCAAAATACAATTCTTTTATATAATAGTTTCTAAGTAAAAATCCTTCCAAATAAATATTTTGAATATAATTCTTTCAATTACAAAGTCACCACATGACACCTCATTTCAAAATCATCAAAATACGGGTCTCAGCCCATTTTCATATTTTTCGTAAATACGGGTCTCAGCCCATTTTCATATTTCCACGGCACCTCGTGCCCATAATTAAATCATCATATTTGCCCGGCACCTCGTGCCCTCATTTCATATCACAACTGCACGGACAATTCACGTGCCAAATATCATTATCATTTCATCACAGTACCTCGTGCCCACATTTTATATCACAACTGCACGGACAATTCACGTGCCAATATCCCTATCTCATATCAAAATTCACGGCACCTCGTGCCCACATTTTATTTTATAAACCGCCTGGCAATAGCCACAGGCTTCCAATTTCAACATAAATCAGATTATTATCAATTTACTAACAACAAGATAAGTTGCACAAGGTATAAAAATAAACACAAGAAAATCACAACATCACATGAAAATTGTCAACACCACAACCCCACATCATCACATATCGTCCCTGACAATAGTCACCCTTATCGCTCCTATTGCCACCCTTATCGCTCCTATAGCCACCTTTATCGCTCCGCCCAGACAATATCAATAGCCAACAAACACAACAGTGAAATGCCACCCTTATAACCACATAACATCAACGGTGAAATGCCACCTTTATCTCCCCAAAATAACAACTCATACAACACAACAATTTACACGGAAAATTATCACAACATAACAAAACCAATTCATATCACAATTTGCCCAATGGCCACAACCAAATTTCAAAGCTACAACCAAGTCAATTAATTTCACAGCACATAGCCAAATGATCCACACAATGTGTATAACACCCAAAAACAATCAATAGAGATAGAAATTACTCAACATAAAGCAAAGTCTTCATAAAAGATCAAATTTTCAATAGTTATATAAACACCTCTTCTTAAGCTCGTTTAATTAATTATTTGCAGAGGGGAAAATCCCAAAATGGAATTAAATTCCAATAATTATCAAGCCAGCAAATTCACGAAATTTCATAAATAATCAAATAACAATCACATCACATTGTCATATAACAACAGAGTCAACAACAAGGGTTTAGGCACGACAAGTAGATGATTAAATATATGCCAACCATTATTCAATTTACTACACAATATGTTCAAGACCTTAACTCCATAAAATTTGCACATATAAACCAAGTACGTACTCGTCACCTCGCGTACATGGTTTTCAATTACCCAAGTTGCACATAAGACTCAATGCCTAAGG